GGTTAAACTGAAGTTTAAAACTTAACAGTGATACTTAAACAAAATCAAAGAATGGAAAAAGCAGTAATGTATTCACTGGGAAACTAAAACCAGCTGCACACTAGTAGCCCGAGCCATTCAGAACATTTCAATGAGCGCACAGATGTCCGAGCGTATCTAAATGTATAATGAAATTAACGTGCGCACGCTTTCCACGCATGGGGAGAAATCCGATACAACATGGCCGCCGCGCAAGCGTACGGGTATCGAATTTGGTCTTAGATTTCAAACGAGTCGCTAACATCGTAACAAAGAAAACAGTGACAATTGTGCAAACCTTCGTTTTCTTTTTGCCAGTGTGCTTTAACCGCCGGACATGAACAGTTTTCTTTTATCTTTAAATAAAGTCATGCATGTGTTCAAGCCTTCGATTCCTCCATTGGGTGTTTTCGACGTTGTTTAAGCGGTTCCCTGAGGCTGTTTCTTTTGCACATAATAATCCTCGAATTGTTCTGCCATACCTCTTAATTACACCCGGAGAGTGCACAAAACTGCCAAAGCTTAACCACTTTGTACGATTCCTGGAAGTTTTTCTCATATCTGACTGTTTTGTTTACATGCGAAACTTTAGTTTTCATCCAGATTTACGACCCATTGATGGCATTAAACTGGTTCCAAACTCGGCGAAAGAATCACTAAAACAGTGCTGAGTAAGACTGGGAGGGAAGCCATTTTTAAATCGCCAGGAAAACACTGCAAAATCGCCATGTTTTAGAGGCGCCGGAGAGCCATTTTTCTCACGAGACGTCCTCCATTTTGAATCCCATACTGCTTTGTATAAAGCCTAGTAGCCTTTCCTTATTGCAAAATAAACAATGCTGAAGCATTACATCGTAGAATAATTTGCAAGTATGTCGGACGAATTCGGAACAAAGTTGATTTGTTACGACTCGAACAGTTTGATAACGTTGCCATTGATGTTCTTACATTATCGGAGACATGGCTTGATTCTAACATTCAGGATTCAGAAATTTGCCTTCCGGGATTTACATTGGTTCGTCGGGATAGAGAAGGGTCAAAATCAGGCGGAGGTGTTGCTATCTACGTGAGAGATGGTCTACCGTTTCGCGTACGGAACGACTTAAATATTGGTGAGAATGAATGTCTNCGTTGTCGTTGTCGTTGTCGTTGTCGTTGTCGTTGTCGTTGTCGTTGTCGTTGTCGTTGTTATTGTTATTATTGCGTTCGTAGAACGCAGTCCTAATGCAGACTTGAGTCAAGTTTCATGGGACGGTTCTCCTTAGATCTTGCAACACCGATTTGGCCGCCCCGCAGCAGGGGCAAAAACGAATGACATCATCGCCAAACCATGTGCTGTACATTTCGTGTCCATTTGCTACGTCATTCTTGTTCTCTTTTGTGGCTTCTTTCGCTGTTTTCGACGTTTTGGAATCTTCTTCGAATTGGTTTTTCACTCTGATTGCATTCGACAAAAAAGGGAATGCAGTCCCAATGCAGACTAGAGTAATATTGTTTGGCCCGGCAAAAACAAATAACATCATCGCAAAGCACATGTAAACAAGATGATTTGCTTTTTAGATCGTTCGCGATCGCTTGTTTGTTGTTTGATTCTGGACCGTGAGTGGCCTCTTTTGTCAGGATGCGACATGACGTGCTTTCGTTACATAACTGGGACAACAACTATTTATTCTGTTCACGACCAGGACTTCGAATCGCCTTGCATTGTGATTTTAATCGTGGGAACGGCTATATTTTGAGTACATTAAACAAATTATATTGACTTTAATTACTTAGTTCCAGTGGCCAAAAATAGTTCATTATCCAACGAAGCTCAAAATTGAATCGATGGAAGAGTACTCTGAAGCCAAGATCTGTAAGAGTAAGCCAGAACTAAAGGTCCGGTAATACGGGCAACATTTTTCTTCAGCTTGTCTCGCAACATTGTTGTATTGCAAGTTGAAACCGTGTGTTGCACGTATTACCACGTTTGTGACCAACTTGTCTGGCAGCAAAGTACATTGGTTCGTCGGGATAGAGAAGGGTCAAAATCAGGCGGAGGTGTTGCTATCTACGTGAGAGATGGTCTACCGTTTCGCGTACGGAACGACTTAAATATTGGTGAGAATGAATGTCTCTGGATCGAACTTAATCGCGCCAAATGTAAGCCGACTCTCATTTGTTGTTTATATCGTGCACCTAATGCTGATTTCACCAAGTTTATTTCCAACCTCGAAAACTCTATGCCTACTTTGAACCTTGATAGATGTGATTTAATTATTCTGGGGGACATGAATGTTGACCTTTTGCTGAAGCCTGCTTATGGATGCAAGCTAAATATGCAGATTCTGCATAACTTTATGCGTTCCTTGGACTTGTCTCAAATTATAACCGAGCCAACTCGCATCACCGAACAGTCCAAATCGTTAATTGACGTAATCCTAGTCAATAATGAGTATCGAGTTGTTGATAGCGGCGTTGTGCCCCTATCAATAAGTGATCATTCACTAATTTATTGTATAGTGAAAGCTGGTTTTCCAAAGGCCACACCAAGGACAATAGAATATCGGTCATACAGGGGATTTGATGAAAATGCCTTCATCCAGGACTTAAATAATGTTCCGTGGCACATTGTTGACGATGAGAACAATGTCAACGAACAAATTATTTACCGAAGTTGTGGATTCTCACACACCGCTTAAAAAGCGCCGAGTAAAGGGCACAACAGCNAAGAAAATCAGCAATCAGCAAACAGCTAGAAAGCAGTCAATACATTCTGATTTTTCCGGGAATTTAGACGAGCGAGCCAATGACAAGGGAGCGATCTCACGATTTTTGTCAGACACGTCTTCATGTACGCGCGCATGAACGCCCGAAGATGCAAAATTAGTTTTTTGTGTAATACGTTATGGGCAGGAGAGGACAGGAAAATAGAAAGAGGAAGGCTGCAGCTAAATCTTGCCAGTCTCTCGATACATGGGTCAGTAAAGTACACCGTCAAGAGCCATCAGACGCTGACAATGACACTAATAACAGTGCAGTCTGCGATGACAGCCCAGCTGAAACCACGACTTCAGATCTATCTCAGTTAAGTAAAGTTTTACAGCGAGATATAGAAGGTAAATCATACTTATTTTCGCAATGTCCACCAGTCTTGATCCATTATTAAGCTCTGAGATTTAGTCGCTATTCCTCGATATGAAACAAACTCACTTAATAGAAAGCCAGTGAGGAACACAGAGTAACAATTCGGAGAGGGACTGAGGAGGGTTAATCTAAAGCAGCAATCCACAGGCATCCCAAACCATCAAAATAGAAGTTTTCTAGACACAAAGAGGGAAAATACATTTTATGTTTCTCTTGGTCTCTTATCGTCATTTCCTGATATCATGACAATATTCTATGAAAAGCCGAAGTGTACTTTCTTAACAAGATTCCGCATTGTTTATAAAATCGTTACAATTTCTCAGGTATTGCTACTTTCCTAAACAAACGGATCAGACAATAAAAAATACTTTTCGGTAGCTTGGTTCACTTTGGCCTCATTAGCACCCCCCACATAAAATCCTGGTTACGGGCCTGAATAGTGATGTTCGCGCGGACTCGTTAGGTATTCATCGTGTCCCGATGGCTTGAATTACTTTCTTGTAATACTTTGCTCTTTTCGTTAGTTCTTTAACTGAAATTTGAGATAGGACATAGTCTGGATCTACTTCATTTTCTACAATTTTTGTGTGATAGGGTCGGAGGAGTGGCTTTTTTGAGATCTATGTAAGGATATCTTAAGTGACGGCTATTTAACGTTGTCTCAATTTCAGTGAGTATCGTGT